CTCCTCCTCCTCCTCCTCCTCCTCCTCCTCCTCCTCTTCTTCTTCTTTTGGTTTTTCGAGACAGGGTTTCCTCTTTGTAGTTTGGAGCCTATTCTGGTACTCTCTCTGGAGACCAGGCTGACCTCGAACTCACAGAGATCTGCCTGCCTCTGTCTCTGCCTCCTGAGTGCTGGGATTAAAGGCGTGCACCACCAAAGCCTGGCTGAGTCATCTCTTCTTATATCCTGAAATTTCCATTTGTTCATCTCTCTATCCACACTTTAATTGCCTCAAAGGAATATATAAGCTAGAGATGGGTGCTATCCAGCACTGTAGTCATGTGTAACATCTCAATTAAAATCAAGTTATTTGGAAAAATAAAATTAAGTCTACCCATCTGCAGGCTGGTGAGATGACTCAGCAGTTAAGAGGATGTGTGTTCAGTTCCCAGCATCCACCTCAGGGGTCTCAGAATTTCCTGTAATGCCAGTTCTAGGGGTCCTGATGCCCTTGGGGTCAGCAGGCACCTGCCTTCAAGTACACATAGCCACACATAGAAATATATAATTTAAGAAATGATAAAAGCAAATCTTCTAAAATTTCCTCATTATAACTGGGTGTAGTACATATTTCTTTAATCCCATATATCTTGTATATATGTATATATGTATATGTATATGTATATATACATATATATTATATTTGTGGATAGATAGATAGTGTATGTGTATGTGTGTGTGTGTGTGTGTGCTGTGGGTGTGTACATCCATGTACACAGGAAGAAAGACAAAGAGACAGAAAGAGGAAAACCTGTCTTAAAAAAACAAAATGGGTTTCTAGAATATTCTAGTATTCCTCAATTGGGATCCCTTCATTCTTGGGAGCTGTTTTTCATTTTTCTTTTTAAAATTTATGTTAGCTTTGCTGGATAGCACTGGTCATGAGAAAAGATGCAGGGACCAGACCTTCATACCCACACTGGTGGATGTCAGAGAAACAAGAACATGACAGCCATAAGCAACTGAGTTCTGGGACAGCGGCAGGATGGCTGCTGAAGGCTGTAAGTGATCCATGGAGATGTCTCAGACTCTCAAGCAGATCAGTAAGAAAGGAGAAAAGTTAAAACTGTGAGGTTGAGGAAGAAGAACCAAGATAGAACCCCACCTGGACAAGGATCTTAGGCAATGAATTGGAAAGAAAGCCAAGTGGCTGTGGGACAGGAGGTCTTTTCTGTTTTGGTTTTATGACACAGGATTTCTCTTGCCTGACCTTGCTTTATAGACCATGGTGGCCTTGAACTCAGAGATCTACCTGCCTCTGCCTCCCAAGTCCTGGGATTATAGGTGTGCTCCATACTGCCTAGCCAGGTAGAGGAGGTCTCCAAAGCAATCTGAGCCTAGACAGGGACCAGATAACTTGGACATCTGCAGAAGCTCTGGGTAAGGAATTGAGTTCCCTGTTACTTGTACTTTAACAAACAAAGCTTGCCTGAAGTTGAGAGTGCTGAGCTAGCCACTAGTGAGCTATAAAGGGCAGGCAGTGGTGGCACACACCTTTAATCCTAGGCCTCAGGACTAAGAGATACAGAGACTTCTGTGAGTTCAAGGTCACCCAAGGATACATGAGATTCAATCTAAAAGAGAAACCACCAGGTGGCAGTTGCTCACACCTTAAATCCAAGTATTTGGGAGTCACACACCTTTAATCCCAGCACTAGGAGTTGGAGATTGGGGTCATTTGGCTGGGCTCAGAGGAATATAAAGAGGAGACAGGAACTCTTGACATTCAGTCTGAGGATTCATAGGAACAGGATCGCAACTTTTGTCTGAGGATTCAATAGAGGTAAGAACTAATGGTTGGCTGCTCTGTTTCCTCTGATATTTAATATAAACTCCTACATCTGACTTAGGGTTTTTATTATTAAAACCAATTAGAATTTGTGCTTCAAGGTTGGGTTCTAAGAGGGAATTGCCACAGTCTGATTACACACTTACCATCTGTCTCATTGTCTGTGAATTCATTTATTGGTTGATTACTTTCCCTTGTATGTTTCTTGCACAACGCTGGGTTTTTTGTACTCCTATTTTACTGCATCATACTCCCCAATCTTTAGTTTATTAATATTCACTGCATTGAAATAAACATCTTTTCAAAACTCCTTCATAAGCACATTGGTATTTGGCCTGGTTGGAGGTCATAGTAAAACTAGTATTAAAATATTTTGCTTTTCAAATGAAGGAGGCAAGTTTTAATTCCAAGTGAGCCACTTTAGCATTTGTTCTCCTAGCTTTTGACAGGGCAAAATGCAGCCCTCAAGCAAGCCCACCAGATGCCTTAGCAGATAAAGGCTCTTGCCACTAATCCTGAGTTTAACCCTTAGAACTGGCCTTATAAAAGGACAGAACCAACTACTCATGGTTGTCCTCTGACCATGTGGGTCCCTTGGCATGTTAATCCACTGCCTGGCATGAGATGTATTTAAATGTAATTTGTTTTGGTTTTTCAAGACAGGATTTCTCTGTACAACAGTCCAGGCTGTCTAGGAACTTGCTTTGTTTACCAGGCTGGTCTCAAACTCACTGAGATCCTCCTGCCCCTGCTTCTCAAGAGCTGGGATTAAAGAATTGTGCCACCACTGTCCAGTTTAATAAATAAGATGTTTAAGATGTTCATTAAAATCTTTGTTGACTACCAGTTTGCAGCATTAATTTTCAATCTCTTCTAAGTACAGGGACTGTTAGTGTAATAGAGCAGGACCCCAGTGTTGAAGATCCTGAGCTCTTGGGGGCTCCATGAAAACCATTCCTTCTTTAAGACTGGTACCAGGGCACACTCTCCTCTCTGAGAGGAAGTCATAGAATCTTCTGACCAGAAGTGGAGTTAATGATTTACTAGGCAGGCTTACTCATGTTTTTATGGTTTACCAATCAAGAAACAAATGCTGAAATCCAGATACTGGAATCTGAAGAGAGGTAACATCACCCATAAATGGCTGAAAACTATGGGTCCTAGGGGTTCTGAAAGGATTAGTTGCCTGTGAGTAAATACCCTATTGATTGTCTCCTTCACAGCAGATTCTCCAAAATCTGAGCAAACATTAATGCTAATTTAAATAGGAGGATATCTAGGCATGGAGGGGCTCTGGGCTTGGAGGGTCTTTATTTATACCTGGTGCTTTTCTGGTTGTCTCTAGATACTCCCAGGGAGATGTGGTCTCAGTCACTGTGTGAAGAATTCTGAGAGGTGCTTGATAGTGTCTCTCTGTCATTCTTGTTGGTGTTTTGTTTTTGTTTTTGTTTTCGTTTTTGTTTTGATGAAATTCAGGGACTAACCAATGTGCTTCTAAGCAGAAAAAGCTCGGTGTTCACTGGGAGGCAAGCACATCTTTGCCATTAGAAGGCTGGTCTTTGCTTAGAGTTCTACCAAGAGAACACACTCTTGTCCCAGACTTCAGTTTTCTCTGTTTGCTGCCTTATTGATGTCATGACCAGAACTGAGATTGATGGCTGTATGTGAGGAAAGGACCAGAAACAATGACAGTGTTTAGGAGGACAGGAATCCCTGGCAGAGAGCATGTGTTTAATAGAATGAAGGTTTGCCCCGATACAGTGTGCTGAGTGACACAGCAAATAGAATGTTTTCTCATTGTCTTTCAGGTCAACATCATGATGCTTCATCAAGTCTTCATATCAGGCCTCTTACTACTTCTCCCAGATAAGTTGGTTGATGGGCTGGCAGATGCTGGGAAGTCTAGAGTTGGCAGAGGTGATGACAATACTTGAGCCTTTTTGGTTATGGGTTTTATAATGAGCAGAGAATCAGAATAAATTGTAGTTCCAACAAAATTTCTTAACCTGCATGAATTTCAAAACATGTGGCTAAATAAACATGATCCCTAGAAGATGTCAGGCAAGAGGTAAGAACACATGCATGCATTCATTCACAAGATGGACAAGTAAGGGTGAGTGCACTTGCATGCATGTCATTGACAAGGAAGGGTGAGCATACATGCATGGATGCTATGGACAAGTAAGTATGATTGCATGTGCATGCTAGTTATAGTCAAAGGTTAATAAAGAATTAAAACAGCTTTCCATGCATGATGGCTACACAGTGTCAGCCTTCATTTCTTTCAGTATTTTTGCTTTTTAAAACCATTTGCAATTGCTTAACTTAAAAAACATTCTAAGTCAAAGCATTCTATGAAAGGGGGAAAGAGGAACACTATAACTGTCTTTGAGACAGGGTCTAAGTTAGTCCAGGCTGGACTCAAACTCCATAGGCTGTTGAGGAACAACTCAAATTTTGATCATCCTGCTTCTACCTCAAAACAACTGAGATCACTGGTGAGAACTAAAATATACTTCTATGATTTAATTGAAATTCCACGTATTTTACTTTATTTGTGTTCCTTTAGGTATTTTGTTGTACAGTAGTATTTTAAGATGCTTTATATTTATTTATGCTGTGAAATATTTTTTTAGTGATGCAAAGCTGTGTTGCAGTCTTTTATATTGCATTTATTTTTAACTCTATGAATCTGTGCTACTATGACTAATATACCTAATTGGCCTAAAAAGAAGTGAACAGCCAATAACAAGGGAGGGGAAAGGAAAGGTAGAGCTGGCAGGTAGAGAGAATGAATAGAAGGAAAGAGAAAAAGAGGAGCAAGAGAACAAGGAGAGGGGGAAGATAGGTAGGGGCCAGCCACCCAGCCACACTCAGCCACAAGTCAGAGAGCAAGATGCACAGAAGCAAGAAAAGGAAAAGTCCCAGAGGCAAAAGTTGGATGGGTTAATTTAAGTTAAGATCTGGCTAGAAATAAGCCAACCTAAGGCTGGGCATTCATAAGTAAGACCCTGTATGATTTGTTTGGGAGCTGGGTGTCAGGCCCCAAAAGAGCTGAAATAGAAAGAAAAGAACCAACATCAGTATTTGGCTAAATCAAGTCATGAGCTGTCCCAGGGGGAAATAGACTTCATTTTATACAATTATGAATGTGTTTTTTCTGATCATGTCCGGAACTCACAGCCTAGGCCTGCATATAGGTGACTAGTTAGGGAGTATCACAGTCCATTGTTTTGTGCCTTTGTTTCTGGTGCTGGGATCCAGTAAGGGTCTTGCATAGGCTAGCCAAGCACTGTATCATTGAGCTCTGACCTCAGCCCTTACAGTTCCTTTAAAGGCCACTGTGGAAGATATTGGTATTAGGTATTTATTCCATCAACCCAAAAGAATTATATTTAATTTTTAGTTTTTAAATTATATCATTAATTTATTGGTTGCATATTTTCTTTTTTATTTTTGCAGGGGTGTGGTGGTGGTGGTGGTTTGAGGCAGGGTTTCTCCATGGTTTGTCCTGGAACTAGCTCTGTAGACCAGGCTGGTCTGGATTCACAGAGATCGCTTGCATCTCCCTAGTGCTGGGGTTAAGGGCATGCACCAGCACCACCTTCACCACTGGGCCAGATTGCATATTTTCTTTCTTTTTTCTTTCTCTTTTTTTTTTTGTTTTTTTTTTTTTGTTTGTTTGTTTTTCAAGACAGGGTTTCTCTGTGGTTTTAGAGGCCGTCCTGGAACTAGCTCTTGTAGACCAGGCTGGTCTCGAACTCACAGAGATTCGCC